CAGTGCCTGGATGCCCCGGAAGATGCACTGCGGAAGCCCAGAGTGGCTTCCACAACCTGGACCGCACCCCGCTCCGGGCGCCCAGGCCTCGTCCAGGCTGGGGTGGGGCCGCCCCTCTCGGCCGCCCCTCCCCTCTTTCCTTCCTCGAAGGCCAGGCCTGGCTTTTGTTATTCAGAGCCCGGGCCCCGCTGCCTTCCTGGGGTCAGGCGGCCACTTCCAAACCCCCGTAGCGGTCAGCTCTCCGCTGGGTCCCGGCCGAGCCAGGTGCGCCCGCGGAAGTCGCCTGGGAGCTGGCCGAGGGGGAAGGGGAGCGGCCTGGCGGGCGGGGGCTCGGGCTCGGCCGCGGCCGGGTGGGCTCAGTAGGGTGAGGTCGGTGTAATCCCATTTCAACCATTGTCATGCGGGCGGGCAGCCCGAGCCGAGCCGGGGGCCGGGCCCTTTAAGACAACGCGCGAGGCGCAGCCGCATGACAAAGGCGCTCGGGGTCCAGTGGCGGGAAATAAAGAGATGAAGGCCCGGGGTGGGCGCCTGCCCGGCCCGCGGGCGTCCCCGCCTCCCGGAGCGCGGGGCGCGCGGGGCGCGGGACGGTCTGGGCTCCTCCCGGCGTCGCCCAGCCTGTGCTCTCCGAGCCCGGCGTGTCGCTGGGCCTGCACAGGGCCGGGCCGCGGGGGACCAGGGCGGAGGAGGCGGGAACCGGGCGCGACCCCCGGGTCGGGGAGCGGCGCTGGCGGTGTGGGTGTCGGCGGGGGCCAGGTGGACAGGAGCAGCCCCAGGGCCGGACCCGGGAGGGGCAAAGGCCAGTTCGGGGAGGGGCCGTGGGACGCGGAAGGGGCCACCCCGGAGGCCCGGGCTGCGCGCAGCGGCGGGCAGAGCCCAGAGCCGAGCCGAGGGCGGCGCGGGCTGGGGGCTGAGAGCGGAGCTCGGGCCTCACCGCAGAGGGGTCTGGAACTCGGGGCACGGGCGGCAGGGCCCCCGTGGGGAGGGAACACTCAGCTCGGCAGGGCCTCGGGGCTCCGCCAGTGGGAGCCAATTCTTGGCTCCCGCGGATCCGGGAGCGTGGGGAGACTCGTCACAGGGGGAAGGGACCCGCGTGCCACGCGCGCTCACACGCCTTTGCGCGCACGTGCAGGAGCGCTTGCACCCCGCCTCCCCTGCTCATCACCTAGCCGACTCTGGGGAGGAGGGCGCTCCCTGGGACCTCTCGTCCCGCAGCGGGCCGCGCAGCAGCACCCTGCTGTGGCCACAGGGGCGGGACGAGGGCCTGGGCCAGCCGTGGTGCGGCAGCCCCTGCGCCCTTGGGACCCAAGGTGAACGCAAATCACATAGACGGAACAACACTGCCGGGAGCCCCAGAAGAGAGACCCAGGTCCCCACCGCTTCCATGCCTGCCGGCCTCCCCTGGCTCCAGCCTGGCTCGCACCAACCAGGCAGGCCGGCAGCGCTGGCCAGAGCCTGGGCCCAGGTACTCCTGCCACACCTGTCAGGGGCCAGGTACCGTCTGACCTTTCCCCAAAGCCACAAAGGGTGCAAGAGTCGGCTTAGGTCTCCCCCTTCCAAACTGTTCAAATAGGCAATCAATTTTTATGATGTAATTTATAATTTATGCAGGTTGTCTTCATACATATGGTGTTGCTTTTGTGTGTCGGGGTTTCAGGTGCTTTATTACTGATGGTGTGATTTGCATTCACATTGGGTTACCAAGATCATATTTCTCCTGTTTACACCATAAGGGGCTGAAATGAAGATTAATGCTGACTCCCTTTGTCCAGGCCATCCCAGTAAACCTGGGCTAGGGCTCCTCCCAAACCCCAAAGCCTGGCTAACCCAGAACTTTCTGGAGCTGTGGAAATGGGAGCCCTGGCCTACCCAAGATCCGGGCAGGACACCTGCTCTGCGGTGTGCACCTGGGCGGAAGCCTGGGGTCTCGGGCAGAAAGAGGTTCCGGTGCGTGGGAGCCTCCTCTTCCCCAAGGCCACAGCTGAGGCGAGCAAGCTGCTCAGCCACATAGTAGCCTAAGCCTAGCAGGTAAAAGGCCCGGGGCAGAGGCCAGGTTGGCTGCCAGAGCTTCCAAGTGTGCACCCTACAGCCACTTAGGACAGGCGCAGGGAGCACCGAGGGGAGGAGCAAGGGATCAGCTGGTCACTGCCAGGCCGCAGGAGAGTCCCCAGGCCAGGGAGCCAAGAGGATGTCACACAGCTTTGGACCAAGCAGGCCACCAGGCGGGGGCCGGAGAGAGCAGCCTCAGAGGCCACGTTCGAGGCTTCCAAACCCAGCTGAAATGATTAAGCCAATTAAGCTCAAACAGAAACGAAGGAGCAAGTGCTGCCCCCACAGAAAGGGGATGGGGAAGTCCACAACCAGACTCAGGACAGCCCCTCGTGGCAAATTCCAGCTGGGCTCCCCACCCCATCCCCATTTAGCTGGAAAGGCACCTTCGAAAGAACCACCCTGGGAGGGCTGAAGACTCGGAGAGGCAGGCTGAGTCCAGAAGTAGAAGCCATACTCAGTCTTGAGCATTCCAGCCCTGCATGGGGTTGGACAAGACCCCGGCCCAGGTAGCCTAGGCCTCTTTGCTTGGAGGGTGCGTCCAGCCTCAGTGAGCAGCTTAGGGGAGCAGGCTGCTTGAGGCCGGGGACCACCATCTGGCTACGAGGGTTCAAAGTATGCTGGTCTTTCCAAAGGGGTGTGGGCACCCAGTCCCCTCCCAGGGGAATAAGGACGGGGTCACACGGGGTCAGATGGCTCTTCCGGTGGCCCCCCTTGGACTTGTGCCTGGGTGAGTGGATCTGGGGTGCAGGCAGTCCCCAAGCATCCCACTGCGAGGCTGGGGGCTCAGGTCCGAGGTGCTGAGTGTAATTATTTGATCTGCAGATGTAAGTGGAATTTATTGTAACAACAAATATAGTGATGTCAAAACCCAACCTTGGATTAAAGCCAGCAGCCGAAGGGGAAGCGTATTAATTTCCAACAGCATCTCAGGCCAGAGCCTATTAGAACAAGCTATTCTTCAGGCCCCCCCATCAGAATTAATCATTGGGAGTTAATTTGAAGCTCAGACAAGTTGCTGTTAATTTAGTGCAGGGAGGACGGGATGGAATAAAAAGCTGAGGTGCTGGCCGAGCCTCGTGGGTCTCATTAATCAGCCAGCTGAGACGGCCTGGCTTGATTACAATTTGCAAAAAAATTCATTAGGGCCCGGGCGATTGACAATTTTTCTCTCTGCCTGTGATGTGACTCATTAGGCAGCCAAATGAAAGCCATGATGACGGCCATGATGACAGAGGCCATCAAGCGCTGCTTGTTTATCTTCCTCCCCTCGGCCTGTCTCCCGGGCCTGGACTCTGCCGGCGCCATCATGCTCAAGGCTTGGGGAGCGAAGGCAGCATTGTCCCTCCCCGAGAAGGCTGGACGGCTGGTCGCCCGGCCCTCTCCTCCGGGGTTTCCCAAGGGCCTGGGTGGGAGGGCTGGGGCGCTTGGACCTGGGAATGGGGCTTCCGGAAGGTGGCCTCTCCTTCCTAGGGAGCGTCACTGTCCCGCCGGGCTGCCCAGCCCGTCCTGGGTTTCGGAAGCGGGCTGCAGGATCACACCCCTTACTGTGGAAGGGGCACATGGGGGTCACCCTAGGACTCTCAGTGCTCAGAGCCTCTCCCGCGACTGCAGCGCCACTAGAGGCAGAGGCCGAAGGTCCTTGTGCTCAGGCTGGACTCTGCGCCAATAGCCAAGTCCCACCGGGGTGCATCTGCAGCCCAAGGTCGGACTGGTCCAGATGGGGGAGGAGGGACGGCGTCCCCGCAGGTCTGAGTGCCGCAGTACCGGGTGGCCTGCCCGGAGCAGAGGGCTCCCGCCTGCCATAGGGGCCGGGATCTGCAGAGAGGCGAGGCCTTGCGGCCCAGGCTTCAGGGCGGACAGCAAGGAGCCGCCGCAACTCCTCGCAGAACTGGCTAACAGAACAGGCTGAAGCCCTCGGAGGACCGGCCGCTCCATTTTACTGTTTAAGAAACCCAAGGCCGGCTATTTTCCGCCACCGGAAATGGTCAGAAGGCGGCGGATATCGGTGACTCTGACTCGGGCCGTGCTCCGGTCTTCCCCCTGCCCTTGAAGTCGGAGCGCAGGCCTCGGTCCCCAGGCCCCTCTGCGGTGGGGGGGTGCGAGCTGCAAGCCGTGTAAATCAAGGCAGTGTTGGCACCGACCCACGGCGCCCGTCCCCATCCTTGGGCTGAGACTGCTGCGAACGCCACGCCGGGGCTTTGGAGCCAGCCCCCCAGCCTCCGTTCACTGGCCAGGCCCGGCCAGGCCCAGTCGGCGACGCCACCGGCTTCTCTTGCTCTTGGGGCTGCTGGTTCGGTGGCCAGAAAGGGTCCGGCGCCCGGGACACCGTCACGCAAGAGCCCCACGTTCCCGGGACACCAGTGGCGAGCGCCGGGCCGGTCGCATCCCGTGGGACCCAGGGGTCGGACTCTCCCCGGCTGCGTCCTGCGCCGCGCCCAGCTCCCGGCGCCCTCGGGGTGGGGCGGTGGCTTGGGCCCGCCCTCGACCCCGCCCGCGGGAGCTCTCGGCCCGTCCCCCGCTTCCCGCCTCCCGGCCGGGGGCTGCCGGGAAGCCGGCCCGCTCGCCCGGTTCCTGCGCCTGTCGGAAGATGACGCCGGGCCCTGATTTATGGATCCTCGGCCCTGAGGGCGGGCGGGCGAGCCCCATGCTTTCCGGTCCGGGCTGTGGGTGAGAAAAAGCCTTCCTTCCCCGCTGAAGTCCACCGGGAGCTTAGGCGGAGTTCACCTTCGCCCACCCTCACCTTCCCTCCCCGGCGCCCTCTCCCCTGGCCGAAGTTTGCCAGCTCCCTAGCTGTGCAAAAGGGGGACGTGCTGGAGTCCCCAGATGAAAACTAGGTTTTCTTAAATCCACGGCCCCACTGGCGCTCTTGTCCTCCAATTCAAAACCTGCCAAAGTGCCGTCCCCAAGGTCAGCTGGCCCGAGGGCGGGGGTGTCCCAGACCAGTCGCCAGGCCACACCCCGCTACAGCGCTGGGAAGAAATTCTGGACACACCTAGGAGGCCCGCTGCGGACTGATCTGTTTTTTTTCTTCTCTCCTTTTTATTATTCACAAGACTGAGATTGTTTAAATGCCATAACTTATAAGAAAATAAGCTACATTGAAATAAATTAAACACAATGGAGACGTGCCTCAGATAGGACAGGCAAGCCCAGGAAAGAAAGCCAGGCAAAAGCAACAACGCAAAGCAAAGTAAATTTCCAGGCTGCCCAATCATCTGCTCTGCAGTCAACCCAAAAAGCCAAAAGCAGAAACAAAAGTGAAGTTTAAACCCCAGTTTGTTCTGTGTTTCATGTTTACCTTTGGAAAAGTATGGAAAGGTAGCGGCTGCTAAGCACGGCAGGGCAGGGCAGGGCACAGCAGGTTGTTTCCTTCTGGAATGTAAGTGGAGAATCTGGCTAGGTAACTTTGTCCTCTAACTTTCAGACTCCAGTGTGTATAGATTATCTATATACGAAGTAGGGAGTATAATAAATATTTAGTGTATCTTCAAGTGTGGCCGCAGCCCTTGCAAGAGCAGTCTTTAAGCCTGTTTCATGAGTATCTTCTCAACTTGCTCGGGATGTCCACCTTTGGAATGTGACTGAGTTCTGCTGAACCTAGGAGACCACCACTCGTTCCCTTGGGGCTGGGGCTTCTCCACGTGGGGCCAGGCCTGGCCGGCCCTGGCTGGGCCCTCAGGGCCGGGCCTGTTCCAGCTGCTGATGCTGACTTCTAATAGCGAATCTGCTGACGTGCACGGGGATGGGGACCACAATCTTGGGGTTCCGGGAGGGCTCCCCCGTCTTGGAGTTGGCATTGCCCGCCTTCACGCGTTTCCACTTGGCCCGGCGGTTCTGGAACCAGATTTTCACCTGCACCTCGCTGAGTTTGAGGGCGTGGGCGATCTGCGAGCGCTCGGTCAGGGAAAGGTACTTTTTGCAGTGGAACTCCTTCTCCAGCTCCAGCAGCTGCTCGCTGGTAAAGGCAGTCCGCCGCCGCCGGTTCTTCCCGGTGGATGTCGTGCTGCCTGCCGCGCCGCCATTCGGCGGGGTCTCCTCCAGCGCGTGGCTGGGGTCTTCCTCCTTGTGAGCCGCCTGGCCCGTCAGATTGTCATCCGAGCTGTAGTCCACATCGCTCTCCAGCGAGAAACTCTCCTCCTTGCTCTTCGGGTCATCTTCCACCTTTGACTCCTCTTTCCCTTGGCCTCGGACAGCCCCGACTGAAAGCAAAACCAAACGGCGTTTTATTACATTTCGCACACTGGCCTTCCCTTCGCCTCCCCACCGCCGGCGCTTGCCCTCCTACCCCCACTCGGTGGATTGTCTTTCTGTGACATTAACACATTGTGATTTCCTGGCCTTTGAAGGGAGGGGAGGAGGGGGAGCGTGAGAAAGCTCACAGGAGAGGAGGAGACGGCACAGGCGACGGCCCTTTGCCCGGAACCATCACTCAAGGGGCCGCCAGGCCTCTGCCCGCTCAGCCTCTGGCGGCTGAAGGAGAAGCGGCGGGACTCGCGCGACGCCGGAGCACGGCGCCTTCGTCCCCGGGGGTCGGGGCTGGGTGAGGACTGAGGGGTCGCTCCCGATCCCTCCTGGCCCCTCTGCAGGCCCTTGCACAGGGAAAATTCAGGGAACCTCAATTTCATTGCAGGCAGAGAGGGAGCGCAGGGACGCGCAGATGCCAGGCGGTTATCTTTCTAGAGACAGATAATGTTGGTCACAGGGATGTCTCATAGCTCTGGAAGTCCCCACCAGACAGCTCAACACGCACAGACACACACGCACACTCTCGCAGGGAGGCAGACGCGGCGTCCCTGGAATCCAGTTCTCCCGCGCAAGCAGCAAGCCCAGAAGGGGCTTCATAAGTGTGGGCGCCGCTGGGCGTAAACACAGCTGAGGCGCACGGCCCAACCGCGCACCCTTAAGGCTGCAATCGGCCAGGGGCGCCAGGTCGGGTGGGCGTGGGTGGACACGCCGGACGCGCCCCCAGCAGCAGCTGGCTGAGGGAGCGGGCGCCAAGTGTCCCCCACCCCCGCCCCGCTCGGCGTGCGGGGGCCTCCTGGGGCTGCCCAGGGCGGGCGCGCGGTCTCGCCCCCGGGGTATCCGCGGGACCCGAGCTGGCCCGCCCCCGAGTCCCGGGCGCGCGCAGTCGACTCACCCAGCGACGCCTGCACGGCCTCGGCCGCGGGGAAGGAGAGCAGCGAGCCCTCCTTGGCCAGGAAGCCCTTGCCGTCCTCCGCGTCGGCTTGCAGCGCCTCCGCCTTGTCGAAGTTGCCGGCGCCGGGCAGCGGCTGCGGCGCGAACTTGCGGGCGGCCGCCGCCTCCTGGTGCTGAGGCGACGCGGAGAAGCCGCCGGGCAGCGTGGCCATGAGCGTGGAGGTGAGCGCCATGCCCTGCGCCAGGCCCGAGCAGAAGCCGGGGGGCAGGCTGGGGATCTGGTGGTGTGGGTGCGCGGGCGGCAGCGCGGGCTGCAGCGCGGGCGGCGGCGGAGGCGGCGGCGGCAGGACCACGGGCCGGTAGGGCATGAACATGGGGTAGCCGGTGTAGACGAAGTGGCCGGGGCTGGGCTGCGGCGGGCTGCCGATCAGCGAGTCAATGCTGAAGGCGGTGCTGCTCCCCAGCGGGCGCTGCATCATCATCAGCGACGGCGGGAGCGCCGCGCTCATAGACGCGTTCGGCGGAGGCCGGGGAGAGGCGAAAGGTCCCCACGCCGCGCAGCGCCAGGAAGCCCGCCGGCCGCCGGGAGCACCCCCGGGATCGCCGGGCCGCGGCCGGGCGGGATCCGGGGAGCGGAAGCCGCCGCCGCTCAGTCCTGGGTCCGCCGCATCCCCGGGGGCCCGGGTGCGTGCGGGGCGCGGCCGTGCGCCCCGAAGTGGAGAGGGCGCCCGGGCCCCGCGCACCCGTCCGAGCGCCGCCCGCCGCCGGCCCGTCGGAGCCCGTGCGCTTCGCGTCTGCGGCTCTCGCCCCGGCCCGCGGCCGTGCGCGCGTCGGTCTGTCCGTCCCGCAGTCCGTCGCCCGCCGCGGGCCGCGGGGGAGCGTGCGAAGCCGGCGCACTGGTCTCGGGCGGCCGCTGCCGGCACCTTTAAATCGCGCTCCTCTTTCTCATTCACATTTTGCCTGCCGCCTGGGCGAGCTCGCCTCACGTGGGGCCGGGCGCCACCGCCCATTGGCTGCGAGGGCGGGGGTGGGGCGACCCGGAGGCCCCGCCCCTCCGCCCCTCCGCCCTGACTCGCCGCGAGCCGGCTGCGGGCGCCACCGCCGGAGAGCGCGGGGCTGGGAGCTGGGACCCGGGCTCCGGCCCCGCGCCGAGCAAACTTGAGAAGGGCCGTGGGCGCCTCTCGGCTCAGACCCCAGGGCCCGACGTCCCCAAAGGGCAGCTTCCAGGCCCGCATCCGGCGCTCGTGGCCGGGAGCGCGGCAGCACCTTTCTGTTTGCCCGCGCTCACCTGGGCGCGGGGCTCCGCAGGGTCCCGGAGCGGGCGGCGGGACCCCGCCCTTGCAGGTCCGCCCGGCCGGGTTCGGGCCGGGGTCGAGAGCCCTGCGGGCGGCTCCGGGACCCTCAGAGGGGCTCGCCCGCTCCGTTCCGGGCTGGCCACTCCCGTGGGCGATCCCTGCTCATTTTTCATGGCATTCTTAATCAGAGCACCTATTTACACACTTTGCCAGCGCGCACCAAAATAACAGCCGCGGTAATTATGATAATAAAGCGAGTCCTTTATCCGCTCCATTCTCCGGGAGGAAGGGGGAGTTGTCTGCCTGCGGATTGTATAACGCGAGATTATCCTGATGAAAGCTTTATGATGTTTGCTCAAATAAAAGCTGCGTTTTGTAAATAGGCGCTAATTAAGCACGTTGGGGACGGAGGGAGCGCTCACCCGTTGCCGCCGCCCGGTTTCCAGCGCGAGGAATCGAGGGCGCGCGGTCCCCCTTTGCCGACTGCTGGATGCAGCCGATTCCCACAAGATATTTCCCCTGTGCTCGACGACGGTAAAGACCCCAGGATGGGGGAGCAAGGGTATTTGGGGGTGGGTGGGGTGAAAGTAGGGTTGGTCTTCTACCCTGAGCCCTGTGTTTACAAACTTCCAGCTCCTGAGTTCCCTTGAACGTGGAACAGTTTCGTGGCTCCGGTGGACGATGCAAAGCTCACCAGCGCGCACTGGGCTTCCGCACGCCTCCAGGGCCTTGGCTTCAACTCCCTGTGTGTAGACGTCCTCCCCGAACCGCCGGCAGCACCCGGCCCAGGAAAAGGAGCGGAGGACATTGTCACGTCGGTCATTAAAAATCAGCTCACGCGGAGGAGCTAGTGGTTGGGGAGTTGGCCCGTGTTGGACGTGTGTTATGTATCACTTACAAGCACATTTAATTGGGAGATAAAGATAAATCGATCTTTATGAATTTATCGACCCAATTCTTTGAAGTCCTTCTTTCCCATTCTTTATCTTTCTCTCGATCTAACCCCAGGCCCCCCACCTCCAGGGGATGTCTTAATCTCGGACCGCCTCCTCCCAGAGGAGTCTGGCCAGACACCCACTGCCCACCCAGCGGGCTCGGAGGGGAGGGAGGGTGCGTCCTGGGCGCCCCGGGGCGCTGAGAAAACTCGGGCGGGCTGGCAGCGCCCTCCCCCCCCCATCATCCGGACAAAGACGTCTCCTGCGCGTTCCCCCACTCCAGGCCGCAGTAATAGATGGCTTCGGCAGCAGGCGGTTTGAAAGGAATTCATTAGGGCGCTGCCTGTGTTGCCTGCGCTCACTTGAAGCCCAGACTTCGAGGTGGCTTTGGCAGTGTGAGGAGAAATTTATTCCCCTGCGATCTGCGAGGAAGGAGGTATCCGTGGGGTCTCGGAGCTCTATCTCCCTGCTCGCACACCCGCAAAAAAAGAAAAAGGAGAAAAATCGAAGCTCAGGGCAAAGGGCTGATCTCTTCATGAGAAGAATAAATACTCTCTCTCATTAGGAGATTAGTTGCAGTAACATGTCACAGTCCACTACCTTATTTTTTTCTGATACTAAGAATAAATGCTTCCTTGATTTACATTGCTACAATGGGGCTCCTGCCCTAAGCGGTTACTCATTTTACCTGGGCAGGTTTGCTGTCCACTTTGCTATTTCTCCACAAAAATATTGTTCTAGTGACTTCCATTTTTTGATTACCCTGAGAGAGACAGGGATTCCTTTGATTATTTTGATGATGATTCTACCTCTTAAAGTTCAGCAAAAAGATTTAGGTCTGTTGAATTATAGCTACAGTTGAAATAATTTGATGGCATATTATTCGCATCCATAAATTGCCCTGGAAAGTATTGACTGCAGGGGTTATTATACTAATCTTCTTTTATTAGTGAGTTCAGATAATTCTCATCAATATGAATTTTATTTACTAGTGTGCTTTTCTCGAGTGCAAGGCAGTAATATTTTCTCATCTAATGTTTAACTGCTTAGAAAACGACTGTTCCCATCATACAAGGACCCTCGTGTTTTAGTGTGATTAACAAAACCCATTCGGGGCACCTCTGCTACCTGCAAAAGGTTCAGAATATGGGGACTTCGGGTAACAAACGCCTCTAGAGTCCTTGGTCCTCGGACAGCTTTATGGGCAGGGAGCGACAGGTGCATGGCTTGTCCATCTTTCGGATTCCTACCTGCTTGGCTCCATCCGCAGAGTCCTGAGTGACTGAGCTGCCTCAGGCTTCGAGGGAAAACCACGCCGAACACCTCTGGGCAACTGTGCCAGAAGAGCCCCCCCCCCTCCAAGTAGGAAAAAGGCAGATGGGCCCAAAGGGAGAAGAAGCGTCCTCCGACTTCAGTTCACTTCTGCCAACTTTTCTCTTGAAGCTTCTCTCCCACTGAAGACAGCTTAGCCCTAGCACACTTCACTCGACTGATGGTGCCAGGCGAGTGCTAGGATACAGTTAAGCCACTTAACGTGGCTTAGATGTTCCATAAAAGTGCCGGCGCTTGAGTGGGCTCTACACTTCCTGGCTGACCCGGGCAATGTCTGCAAGCAGGTGTATTTAAGCTGCGTGTAAAAATGTAAAACGCACGAGTAAATGAATATTCATGAGGCAAACTTTCTGTGATTGCCAAGCCCAGCCCGCTGGAGGAGGTGCAGGCACCTTACAAGTGGAGAGGGTGGCATGGGCCCCGATCTCCAGCCGACTCTCAAACCTTCAGGCCTCGTGGACTGCTTTCCCACCAGCGACAGGCGACAGGCTGGTTTCTCGGGCAACTGGGTTGTTTTTATTTATGGGGATTTTGAGTGGCCTGATCATTCGGTCATTGCCGAAGCTCTTGCTCCTGGCAATAGTTGGGAAATAACTTGGGATGGGTTTTATTTATGGAAGGGCAATTGGGATTCACACCCAGCTCACCCAGAATAGTGCCTCCCCCAGCCCAAGATGAGCTTACAAAGGGGCGCTTGTGTAAAATTCCCCATCAGACACACCAATTTGCAAGTAGCAGAAAGCATTGAAGCCTCATCTTTTTTAACTATTTTATTCAGCTTTTTTTTTTTTTTTTTAAATCTGAAAGCCCAAAATAGACTCCATGTGGTTCTAAGTGAAGTCAGCCCTCGGCTGGCTTTGAAATAGCTCCTGCAATTATGTAAAAGAGCCATTCACCAACAGGACGGAATTAAAAGGGATCTCGCCTGCTTGGCTTTCATAGTCAACCTCTCATGTTTGGCTTTTCAAAGCACTTCCAACACGATGTCTTTCTCTAGGACAAAAGGCAGAACAAAAAAAGTCCCCAAACTTGTAAATTGAACGTCAAGGGAACTTTAAACAATTTAAAGCCCATAAATAATGATAAAGGGGACTGGCCAAAAAGGCAAACCCATTCAATTAATAGAGTTTCCCAAGCAAAGATCAAGTGGTGTATAAAATAAAAGTCTTTGGTTTCTTTATTCTGCTCCTTGACCATGCAGAAAGCAGAACAGGGGGTTTTTCTAAAGCTCCCAGAAGAAGAAACACTTTGCGGGGACCCTGTGTGCTGCCACATTCTTGTGTGGAAAGTTTGCTTTCCCCCCACCCTCCAAGTAGCAGAAGTGAAACAATCACCATCCAGAAATGTGACATTTTCCTGCCCTTGGGCGTCCCCCCCCCCCAGTTGGAAAATGCTCTCCTGCGCCTGAAGGCCCAGAGATGTGACCCTTCACACCTGTGCCGCTGCCCCACTCCAGCGCCAGGGACCACAAACCCCAGCCACATGGTCCGCGCACAGGGCGAGCTTCGTGGGCCCCGCGGCGCGGGCAGTTGTGCGATCTGCAAGAGTGGGAGCCTGCAGGCTGCGAGTGGGCCCACAGGCTGAGGACGCGTTGCAAGCTCTCGGAGCCGGGCTTCCCTGCATCCACGCGGGGCCGGGCTCCCGGGGCTGGGCTCGGGCTGGAGTCTTTGTCGGAGCAGCTCTGGCAGCCGGGGCTGGGGAGTTTGGGACCGCCAAGGGTGCGGGTCGTCTGCCGCCTTCGCCCGGGAAGCCCCGAGCCTGCACCCGGCCGGCACCTCCCGGGAGGAGGGCGCGCGCCCTGCAGCTCCCGGCCAAACGGGGGGCAGCGGGCGGAGGCCGTGCGGGTGGGGGGGCTCGACCCCAGGGCTGGGGCTGGGAGGGTGCGGGCTGTGGCAGGCGCTGATTTCTGCCCACCGGCTCTGCCTCTGGCCGGGACGCTGGGTCGCTTCTCACCTGGCTTTATCCCCTCCCCTCCGCACCACGGGATTCCAGCGGCCCCACCTTTGCGGGACTTCAAAAGCCCCGGCCACCAGGCTCCGAGCTTTCATCTCCCGCACAGCAGGCATTGTTTGCGGGACTTCACAGGCATGCAAATCCCGGGCCAGGCAGCCTGCGTCCGCAGAGGCCAGGAGGGGCGGGAAGGGGCGCTGGCCGGCCTTGGGGACCCCCGCACTGGCGGTCCTCCGGGGAGCTGAGTCTGCTCCGGGCTGGGCACCTCAGCCTGCCTGCGTCCTCCTGGAAAGTGGCTGGCGCTCGGTGCTCGGGCTGCAGCCCCGGGGGAGCCCGAGACGCTTTCAGCTCTCCCGGAGACCGGTGGAAAAGAGGCGGGCCGAGGACCCTGGCGCTTCTGTCCCTCTGGGATCTCTGGACCCGCAGGCCAGGGCTCCGCGGCCACCCCTGGGGCGCGGACCCTTACCCGTGCGCTGTGCTTTAAAGAGGACGACGCGCCTGGAGCGCGTCCATTTAACTCTTTAGAAACTCGGGGGAGGGAAGGAGAGGCCGCTGGGATCCGCAGTGACCCACAGCAGGCGCGCGGTAGGACTTCCACTTCTGCAGAACTAAGAAGCAGTGATTGCTGTTAGTGACCACTCTGTTTCTCTTTTCTTGAGAAATATCTGCAAAGTAAGGTCCCAGTTTCCTCTGGTGATTGTTCCCTCATCCTAAGACTGGGGCAGGGCCTTGGGTATGCAGAGAAAGGAGAGACGCTGGCTGCGTGGCGAGGGGGACTTGGAATGGTCTTTCTCCCAACAGATGCCCCCAACCCTTCCGCCCAGGGAAAGGTCCCGGTGGAGAGTTTGCCTGGAAGTCCGGTTGTCTGGACCGCATGGTGGGCTGGTTATGTCTGGAACTAACCAACCTAGACTCTCGGAGGCTGCCTGGAGGACAGCTGTGACCATCTGGGAATGGTCCTGGGGGAACCACATTAAGCGACAGACCCTTCCAAGGAGACAAGGAGCTGTGTGGGTGTTAATGGGGTCCCATGCTACTGATCAGCAAGCAAATGGAGCCAGAACAGATGCCAGCCTGCTTTGCAAGAACCCCTCACTTAAAATAGAGCACCCCATTGCAGAATCAGGGGCTGGAAGGGTACCTGTGTCAAAAGCGCTGACGGTGGGACATCTCCATGCCACAGGAGACCCCAGGGGAGATCTTTACTCTTCTTTGAGAGGCTTGAAAGCTACGCTACTGGAGAACCATGGCCAGTGAGCCTCAGAGCTGCAGTGGGGTCAGGCGGCCACAGGACTCACCCTGCCCGCCCCTTCAGACTCCAGGGACCATCACCCAGCCCAGCTCCCAGGGTGAGTGGCGGTCACGGTCACACAAGGCCAAGCCAGTGAGACAGTGTGAAGCAGGATTAGGGTTAAACCTGACACACCGTGTGTCCTCCCAGCCCCTGCCAGAGAAGGCCGTGCTGCGGCACAGGAAGGAACCCTCCTCGCTTGGAGTTCTGCAACAGGTTCCTGAAATGCACAGCCCCTTCTTGGGGGTGGTCTTGGCAACCACTGGCAGCTGTGACCTCCTCAGCCTGTGGAGCAGAGAACCTCAGCCTTTTCTCTATGACCTGAGAAGATACGGAGTATGATGAACATGGCCTGTAGTCCCCCAACTTGGGGGAAAGAAAGAACCAGGATCCAGGCCAGAGA